ACTTAAGTATTTCCTTCTCGCTGAATTGTGACAACTGTATATCAACTTTCTCGTTTTAATTTTTCATTTAACTTAAGTGTTGAAAGTTTGTTCAAATTTTGCGTTTCTCCTTCTTCTATTGTAACATTCTTAAATTTTATATTAATTTCTTTTTTGCCAAAGTTGAAATTCAAAAATTTCAGCACAATCATTGATCGTTGCAATTTGAAATTAATCTTTTGTGATACTGTTAAGCGAGCCAACGAATTTGTTGCTGAAATACAACAAAAGAAGCTTAAAACACTGAGAAAAATTATTATTTTGAATGATTCGAAAGAGAGAATTGATCGAGAATTTTGCAAGCATTCAGAAATTGAGGTATATTCTCTTCTTTTAGCAATTATTCTAATACACCAATCGATCCTCAGATCTTGTTATAAATCATCTGTAAGAAGGAACGAATATTAATGAATACTGAATTTTGATTACTACTACAGGCAAAAATAAATTTGCATGAAATGAGATGTTTCTATGCAGTTTGAGAAATGGACTGTACAAATTTGATACGTTCAGGTCTATGATTGGAACTATATATTGGAACTTGGTGAGAAACATCTAAAACCCGTAACACCACCATCACCATCAAGTATTTACATCATTTGTCATACCAGCGGTACGACAGGTCAGACCGTTTCTACGATTATTGAAGCATAAGTTGATAAGTTATTTTTATTTTATTTTATGAATTAATAAGCAATATCGTCATAATTTCTGTACAGTAACGGACTATCGAAGGCACATAGGAAGTATCTCAGGTACAACTAAACAATATTTAATATTATCAAGTATTAACCTGTTGCTAATAATATAATATCTGGACTTGAGGTATCAGCAAGACATAAGTCAGTTGAGCTTCAGGTACTCCCAAAGGTGTTCAATTGTCGCATCGAGCAATACTGGTTTCGATGAGCGGGCTATATGTGCAATGGTGTTTACCGCCTCATGATATTGTATTTGATCATAACGACGTATACCTGTCATTTCTGCCGCTTGCTCATATCTATGAACAACTATTTGAGGTCAACAAACTTCTCTCTCTCCTTTGATTTTTTCCCGATAATTGGTATAAAAAATATAAATAATTAATGGGTGTTTAAATTACAAATGAAATTTGAAATTCCCTAAAAATTTTCAAATATCTCATCGATAAGTAAAATTTAAGCTAAAAAATAAATTAACCAATTAATTTAGGCATTTATTATTTATGTTGGTGGTCGAATTGGTATATTTGGTGGTGATCCGAAACGATTAGTTCATGACATGCAACTGTTGCGACCAACAATTGCGGCTTTAGTACCGCGACTGTTGAATCGGTATCATGATATAGTGATGGAAAACGTAAAAAGACAAAATGTTATCAAACGATTAATCTTTCATTTAGCATTAAAAGTATGTTCCCTTGATTGATTATTTTCGGCAATTCTAAAAATCACGAAAAAAAAAGACTTAATTGCCGTAAAAAATTATAATTTACTGGCGAAGAATTGAAAATTATTCCTTCAAATGCAAATTGTATAACAGTTATTTTTATATTTTCCAAAAAAATAATTGAAAATTCCTTAAATATAAATATTTAGTCTAAATTACGGCAATTAGCCAAAGGACAGCTTCATTTTAACACAATATGGGATAAAACAGTTTTCAAAAAAACTCGAGCCCTTTTTGGCGGTCGGCTGCGGTTGATTACATCCGGTGGTGCACCAATTTCCACCAATGTGCTAAATTTTTCACGGATTGTTTATGGCTGTTTATTGGTTGAAGGGTGAGTGCTACGAATTTTCCGAATTCTCCAAATTTATCTTTTCAAATTTGAAAATTTCTCAATGCACCGATCATATAAACAAAAAAAAAGAAATATGTAAAAGTTTTTTGACAAGTAATTTCAAATTGATTAAAGCAAAAAGAAAGATAACATTCCTTGATCAAAATAATCCATTCAAAATAAGCGAACTTATAGCTATGGTCAAACGGAATGTTCCGCAGCTGGTACCATGTCGTTACCTTTTGACACTGTTGGTGGGCATGTTGGTGGACCAGCAGTTTGGGCTCAAGTCAATTTTTCATTTCTTGCAAGATATTTGCTTCCGCAAATGGTCAGCATTTAAATTCATACATTCCTCAATGAATTATCACTATTTAGGTGAAATTAGTGGACGTAAAAGAGTTGGGATACAGTGCGGAAGAAAATACCGGTGAAGTGTGTTTCCGTGGTGCCGGTCTTATGGATGGTTATTTTAACGATCCAGAACTTACATCAGAAACAGTAGATCAAGAGGTTAATCGGAAGAAAATCTACATTAGCGAAAAGTTTCAAATTATTTTTCAAATAGTTAGCATGGAAAGAAAAAGTTCTGCTTGAAGACATAATTCATTTCATCGAAAAATATATCAAATTCTTCATGTCATTTTGCAATCCTCGAATTAAGGGTTGGTTGCATACCGGTGATATTGGAATGTGGTTACCTGATGGTGCATTGCGTATTATTGATAGGAAAAATAATATATTTAAATTGGCACAAGCAGATTTTGTATCGCCTGAACAAATTGAAAACGTTTATTTGCAACATCCTTTGGTGAAACAAGTAAGCCTTAGAAAAAAGAAAATAAATGAATGGATTTTTGGAAAGAAATTCTTCTTTCATAAAATTTTCTGAAATCATTTTATTCACTACATTTAAAATGATATTAAAAAAATCTTTAGACTTTTTTTAAAAATTTCTGAATTTTTTCCAAAAAGATTTTCTGCGGTTGATTGCAAATGATTAGTTTTTGTCTTACTGGTCAGAAAGGAAAAAAGAAAATTTTCATTTTAGATTTTCATTTATGGATCAACTATTCATGCATATTTAATAGCTGTCGCTGTTGTTGATGTTGAAAAACTCCATGCTGATATTCAAAAATCAAATGAGATGGTAATTTTTCTGGGTTTTTAAAAATTTTCAAAACTCTGCTTTTATCCTCTGATAATTATTTGCTCACCTCATTTTTTAATTAGACAAAATAATCAACAAAAAATTACCGAAAAGAATTCGTGAAAGGAAAATCAACTTAAATTAAAAAAGAAAAAAATAAGTCTTTTTAAATCATAATTCCCATTTTTTATAGTCTGAGTTTGTAAACTTTTCAACGAAATCTCAACTATCAGCGAAAGAATATCTTTCGGATCGAAATGTGCGACGATACTTCCTAATTAAGCTACGAAAATTCGGTAGCAGCAAAGGTTTGAGCAGTATGGAACAAGTTAGAAATATATACTTATTGGAGGAAGAATTCACAGTCGAAGCCGGATTACTGACACCAACTTTAAAGATTATCCGGAATAAACTCGGAAATAAATTTAAGGATATCTTGGATGGAATGTATAGCGAAGAATTGGATTTAAATCTAACGCTGAGTTGAAATTTTGGTATTTAATTTGAAAGCGAAGGGTTGAACTAAAATGTGGAAAAGTTGTATAAACACAACAATTTCCAATTTTCAAACCGAAAACTTGTGAAATTTTTACCGAAAATATTTTATTAGCTTTAGTTCAATGACACATTCGTATAACAATTATCACTTTAATCATCAGTATTATAAATAATCAGCAAATGATGGTTTGCAAAGGATAAATTATTTTTTGAAATCGTAATTCAGAAAGTGCAAAAATGAAATAAGATCACAATTGGTAATTGTTATGTGTAAAATTATATTTAATTATGTGAGAATTAATGCAATAAATATTATATCATTTTATTCAGTTCAACGCATTGAAGTTTAATCACAAGACAATAAAGTTTTTCCACCTCTTGGATAAATTTCGCTGATTTTGATAATTACCGTTGGTTAATTTGGATAATTTCGGCAAATATTATGCATTAATTTAAATAATTATCATCAAGATTATATTTCTTTATGACGATTATTAATTAGTTTGGGCAAGCATAACTGAGTTAACTGAAATAATTGAACAGATTATTATTGGTTAGCTCGAGAAACTGCTATTGATTAGCAGAAATTGTTATCAATAAGTAAAAAAAAATGAATAATTGCCACTGCGTAATTTGTCTTGTTAGTTCAATTAACTTCTACTGGATAGTTTGAGTATCTTCATGTAAACTGCATTCTTGGTAAGAACTTAAATGTTTAAATATATGATTCATAAACGGTGAAAAAATTAAAAGCTCTACCATATCTGAATTGTAATATCTGAACTTTTTGAAGCATTATTTAAATAATGTGTCAGTCGATTTCACACGCATCTGACACGTTTGACACGCTTATAATTCACAAGTTAAACTTCATTTATAGCAACGTCACTGATGTTCACATCTTTCATTAAACTATCACAATAAATCATTCCTCATTTTTCAGAGGATAGAAATACTAGTAAAATTTATAAAAATGTTTAAAGAGATGCCATTCAGTGTCAGTGATAAAACATAAAAAAGAGGGAGCTGAATGATAAAGTTAAAAGAAACAATGCGGTTCGAGGAGCTGAAAAAGCAGCGATTGAACAACAAATCGCAACAAACGCTACGAGAAACCAAAACGTGTGGGTTTGGTTACGAGTTGCTGTAAACGCCGAAAAAACAACGTTAGAAGTAAAACGGCGTAGTTATATACGTCTTGGCTCAAATTGTTATTGTAGTTTATATGTTAAGTGACGTCAACAATAGTTTGCCTTTATTGACATTGTAAAGAGCGTACGTGTCAAAGTGTATTAGGAATCGTAATCATATTAACGCATGTGATTGCATGTAATTTTCTCCTCCGTTTATATCGAATTTCTTGTAATTTTTATGATATTTTCTTTCAAGACATATATCGTCGTCACACAGCAAATCATCGGAAATGTGGCAAGTTTTGATCGGTTCGTTTGTTTATTTATGATTAGAAATTTGATATCGCAGCAAAAACTTTAATTACTGTTTGGGATGGAATGAAAAACTGAACCGAATAGTTAATATTTCTGAGGCATAATGCACAGTGGCTTGAAGGAAGTATGGGGTAAAGCGTATCTGTATGGTAGAGAGAATAATCTGAAGAAAGTTTGTGATTGGTTACAAAAATTGATAAAATGATGCAGTTTGCGAATTTCTCGAAATTATAAAAATTCAGTTTTGAATTTATAAAATTGTTCTGTTTCATTTATTATCCACATTTTTTTGTTGCGAATGGTAATGGGAACTGTGGAATGATTCATTGGTTTTATTGCTTTTTTTTTATTTTTCCAACCGATGAATATTATATTATTTCAGCCAGATACTCAAAAATACTTGTTATGCCAGTTGTGATGGTAATTGGTGCAGTTGGTTATTTCATGGAGCAGAAATTTTATACTCCAAAGAAAATTCCATATTTAGACGCATCGGTAACAGAAGGACGTGAGAAGCGACAAATGGAAATTGAATTAGATTCAGAGTATGGTGCCCCAATAGATATTAGTAAAATTAAAAGCAAAATAGTTCCTGAATCAAGCTTACTATTAAATACAGGGCGAAAAGGTTTGATCGACAACGAAAGCTGTTCTTAGGCGTTTTATTGTTGCAATAGCAATAACGACGGGTATTTTAAAGTGTATTGTCTATTATTTTTGCTTCGTTTTCGTTAAATGTGTATGTTTCCATATTTAAAAAATATTGTGTAATGGTAGGACATGTTATTTTTTCTTATTCATCATTCTAGTCATACGTTACCCCTGAATATCAACAAAATAGATATACTATCCATGAGCTGAATAAATCTCAAAATTTTGAAATACCTTTGTTTATTTCTTTTACTTTTGATTCATATTCATGTGCTAGTGCATGTTGTAATTATGTGTTGTGTGAAGAATGCTAAAAAAATTGTCATCATATTACAAAAAGGCTATTATCATATGTATTCACAATGAACTTATATCCGTGACTCTCCTTGTTTGTTTAATGTCAAATGTTTATATTTATTGTAATCAAAATCAAACGTTTATATTTATTATAAAAATTTGACAGTAAACAAACAAGGAGAATGTTTGAAGGAATAAAACTTTACTACAGAAGACACTGTCCATCGTAACCGTTTTACTTGGGAATAATTTGCTCATTTTTGGAATATTTGAATCGGTTGCAGTTCAAGACGAAATCGAAGCTGAAAATCTTTTAAATTCAATAAAACTTGCTTTTAGAAGATAGCAACAAATTTATGAATTTATTTTTGATGTAATGGATTGGAGGTTTGTTGGTTCATTAAACTTCACGAAACCTTGTTTGCGCTTTAAAGGATTAGTACTCGATATTATTGTTCAAAAGAATGGATTTGCATCTTATGTTCGAAGGTCTGCAATTGGCGTATTTGATTTTTATATTTCCATAATTTAATTTATTTGGGTATGTGCAAGGTTCTTTCCGAGAAAGCAGTTCTTCAGATTTAGACAAAGGAAGTTGAGGTTCGAGTGTTTTTTGTCACATAGAACATGTTTACTTAGTGATGGACTTTTAGTGAAAGTTGCATTTAGTTCAAGTTACATGGCGGTGGTTTATCACTTGCTTTTCCTTATCCCTTTTTTTCAGGAAACAAAACCACTACGACGTATTGGATGTTCCATATGACGCAACGGATGGAGAAATAAAAAATGCTTTCGTTAAAAGATCGCGAGAAGTAAGCTTTAAGTTTTCATTTTTTTAAAGCAGTGGCAGTAAACGACGTCCATCATTTCACTCATCAGTTATATTAATTTTATTTTAGAACATTTCGTTTTGTGATATACTTAAATAATGGAAACGTCAATATGGTAATTCATTGACATCATGAAATTTGTTAGCTTAAATCATAAAATTTGCAGGAACAGGGCATGCATGCAGAATATTTTTCAATTTTTGAGTTTTTTTAAATTTTTAAAAAGAACTTTTAATTGAAAGTTTGTTCAATTTTCTTATATAACTTCTGCCATGTAATTAATAACGTTAGATGCAAATCATAATTCGATCAATTGACGACCATATAGCATGTAACAGAAATTTCGATCATTTAATTGTTTGATATCAATCATTTAACTGAAATTATATTTCACAAGCCAAATTTTTAATTTAATAAGTACTGCGCTTAAAAAAATTTTTTTCAAAAACTTTTATTTCGAAATCATTTTAAATAAAAAAGTAACAGAATTTTTCATCCATGTTACATTATTATTAGCTGCATCCGGATGGCATAAATTTCAATCCAGAAGTGGTACGATCTATGGATAAATATGCACCTGATCTTACCGAACAGTTTATGCAATTAAAAACTGCTTATGATATTTTACGACGTCCAGCGCGGAGGAAACAATATGATCAAATGATGGGAATTGAACGTTTAAAACGTTTCAGTGGGGTAAAATTCACTTCTGCAATATAAACTCACGTTTCAATATTAATTGAAATTGGATATATGAAGCATGTTTATGATTTTGTAAAAGTAATGCAGACTTCATATTATTTTTCAGCGATCGGAAAAGTTTGACCTTTACAACATTGAAGTAAAAAAGCACAGTTTTGCAAGGAATTTTGGTATGTCAGCTCGAGAATTCGTTAGTCGTGATTTCTATGTGCGATTAGCAGATAATTCGGATAATTCGCTGATGTATTTCACCATGGGTGGTTTAGTAATCATTTTGATACTACAGAAATTCTATGTCTGGTAGTGTTTTTCTAGATTCAATATAAGAGAAAATTAAACATATCAGTACTGGGAGATAGGAAAATTAGGGAGAATTTATCAGTTGTCTATAATAATTTTTGGTAATTCATAAGTTCCTCGCTAACAGCGACTGTAATATTGTCATATGATTACACTCCAATATCTCATCTACATGAGCCGAAGACATTTATATTGTAGAAGGTCATCAAAACGAACTTCGTCGTTATTCTTAGGTTGTACACTGTCGAATTTTTATCAATAATTCCGAATAATTTATGCATTTTCGACTGAATTACATGTTCTGCATTTTCTTCTTACAGGTATCTAGAATTTACCAACGAGAAATCTGTTATGATAGAGTCTGAGAACAAAATATGTGACTAGAAGTACGATGCTCTGAATTTCTCACTTTGTGTGAGTGATATAAATAATCGGGTAAAACTTTTCGAGATTCATGTTTATTTGATAATGTTATCAAGATGGATTAAAAATATTGCTTTTTTTAAGTTTTTGAAAAGAGACAAATAGGTTGTAAGATTTGTATTATGTTATATTCATATCCGGGATTTAAAATTTGCACCTCAAAAGATGCGGGATATGAAACGCTCAAAGTTCGAATTCCGATGTATTAATAAGAAAGGGAGGCAGTGAATAATTTTTGCTTTTGATGAAAATGAGCGCTTAAAAACTGATGGCCAGAAAAAAACATATTATGAATTAAATCCTTAAACCTTGGAGTAGCATCTAGAATCGGCGATTTTCTACTGAAGAATAAATGGGTAATCTATATAATTAATTTAAAAAAATTGCCTCAACTATTTCTGTCATCAAAGAATAAAAAGACAAAAAAGACCTGATAGCTTTCTATATGTCATCAGTATTTTGAAAAAAATTATTTTGCATCTTGCATCTTCATACATTGAAAAAATTAATAAACAATGATTAGAATGTAAGGAAAGGATTGTTTTTCTATTCTTTTTTTTCTTTCCTTTTGTTTTTCTTCACTGTTTTTCTTCATATTCAAGCAAATTATTAATCAACAGCTGCACGATAGTTGTTTAATTTTTTACTTGAATATATTGTACAAATCGGAAAGGCTTCTAATTCATATCGGAATGAATCTCGAAATGGTTATCAATTCATTCAAAAAAAGTTTGATCATACTTTTGGGAAGGCTCTATAGATCCTATTTAAATTATTTGAAATTGAAATGGATTTGTATTTTCCAGTTCAATTCAGTACAATTTTTCGACTTGAACATAAATTTTAATATTTTTTCACAATATTCTTTCTATAGTCTTTGAAGATGGTTCGTATTTCTTAATTCATCCATAATCGAACCGCATCTCCGTGGTAATACCTCTTTTAATCTTTCAAGAGGTATGGTTAGAGCATTTGGCGAAGAGAAATATTGGATTTTGAAATCGGTAAGAAGTTCGATACCTTGTTTTGATAATACCTAAATTTGGACTCACTTCACTGATTGAATGCCTATTCTGAATTGGCTGAAACTGATCTCTGTATAATCGTGGGAAATATGACTTCTACAGGCTTTATTGGAAGATTTTTTCCTTCTGAAATTTGTTAAATTAATTGTGGTGAGAGTTATTTCTGCATGCAAAGTAGTGCAGATGAATTAACTGATTAGCAGAAAACATCTCTACATAAAAACTAATTGTTTACGATTCGAAGCATGCTTTCTTTCTATTTTTTCTTAGTTGATTTTTGAATTCGTCAACTGTGCGCTCAATTTTTGTTATCTTTGCATTGCTAAACTTGTTAAAACAGTATTATAATATTGCTTGTTTTGTATTGATTATATATTGTTAAGCATTTGAGTAAATAAATTTGAGAATTGTTTTTCGTAATTTGAATTTTTTAGTAAATGAAGAGTCGCTTTTTTATATAGTGTGATATAAGTAAAATAACAATATTGATTATACACGTATATAATTCAATTACTTTTTTTGTTTTGTTCAATAAACATTTTGTAATCGATATTTGGATGGTATTATTGAACTTGTATACTTGTTTTACAAGCCACAAATGCTATCATATTCATTTTTGAAAATGAAAATTTTTCTCACCTCTGCGCCAATTTATTGCTTATCTTTTTACGATTCATCATGAAATTTTGTTTCATTGTTTGAAATTATTTGGTTACTTTTTTAAGAGAAAAGAAATTATTTTTTGTTTATTATTTTTATTTGTTGATTTGTGTTTTCACGTTTAGGTTTATCTATTTTTAGTTTTTTTTGTCTTTTTCTTGTTTTGTTTACTCTTCAATTATTTGCTTATTTATTTGTTTACATAGTTGTAATTTTGCCTGTTTTCCCTATACTTTCCCACTTATTTGTTTAATTATTTATTCCAGCAATTGTTCGAAACCATTGCAAATCAAGTAAGTTACTAATTATACTTAGCAGGTGGATCACATTTAAAATTTTTATAAAAGTTGTAAAATTTATCATTTACAAGATTCAAACGATTCCCTTTGTACATCGGTTGTCAAAATAACGGGAATTTCCATTATTGAACCATTCACTTCATCTTGGTCGATATTCTAGGAAGAAAATTATTCGAGTTCTGTTATCTCTCAATCAATAAAAAATATTTAAGCAGCAAATTTAAAATATTTTGTTTTACGATTCATTTTTTTTTAATAAGAAAAATAATTGTTTCTTGCTTCACTTCATTTTACTCAGTATCCACTTTTCTTTCAATTCATTTTTATTTTTGATTATTAAATTTTACATTTCTCGTATTCGTCGTTAATCTTTGTGAAGTTCAGAAGCGGAAAACAAGTATATACAAGTAGTGATTGGTCGAATTTTTTTTTTTTGCAATTTAACCCGTTCCTTCATGAAGATTGCAAAGCAGTTTTTATAAAGTGATGATTTATCAAAATTTAAATAAATTTTGATGTATTTTACTTTGTGCTTTCCAATAAATAAGTGATCGTCTGCGAGCATCCACTTGTTTTTTCCAACTTACTTGTTTCTGATTTTGTTATACTGCGTTTTTACCAATTTTTCGACAGAAAGATGTTATGCCATGATCGACATACGTAAGAAACATAATTAATAATCGTTTTTTTTTTGGCATTTTCTGCCTCATTTGTCATCCCTCTTTGTTCTTAATAATCTTTTTTAATCGCTTCTATTTCATTGTCACGTTGAACGATTAATTATAGATTAAATAATTATTCGATTTATTTCTACTCGAAATACGACTTACAAATTTGATTTTCTTCAAATGTGTATGGCATGTTTTGATGGTGTTATGAGGCCATCGGTTCGACGACCACTGTATTACTCTTCATATATTTTGCTTTGCACAAACCAAAATATCTCCGGGAAAAATTATTACGATATTTTGGGAGTGAAACGCGGTGCATCAATTGCTGAAATTAAAAGCGCTTTTTATAAATTATCAAAAAAGGTGTGGTTATTTCAATTTTGATTCAAATCTTTTGATCGCAAGGGAACGATGGTTATTATTGCTGTGTTCCGGAAAGCTGCGACTACCTTTTCTTTGACGTTTTCCATTACAATAAAATTCTGTTTTTGGCATAAAAAGGCAGCTTCATAAATTTATTATCTTCTAATTTTACAGTATCACCCAGATGCTCTGATGAAATCACGGGATCCGACGATTTATCTGGAGATCAAAGATGCATATGAGGTGTTGAAAGATAAGAAAAAACGACGGGATTATGATTTAGGACTTATCAATACATCCAGTTCCCATCGGACATACGCGAGATACAATGAAGCTACTGGTGAAAGCCATAAAAAATGCAGTTCATCAAACGTAAGTTTTTTCATCGATAGTTTGTAACTCCGATTTTTTAATGCCATTTACGTGACATTAACAAATGCTGTAGTTTCTTCAGCAGATTCATCGATCTACCAATGCAAGATTTGGGTATTTGGAACAATTTGAAAGAAGTTATTGTTAGTCCTGGTGTGAGGGGAATTGAAAAGAAAAAGGGGTAAAATAGTACTGTATTGAAGGAAGAAAATCTTATTAAATGAAAATTCTGTTGTCAAACTGTTTCCTGATGGCCAATAAATGTCATTAAGTGTAGAACTGATAATAATTGCTTCTTAATGGTTAATCTATCTACATATTACATCGAAGCATTTTCGTTGTGAAGAAATTTGTTCCATCTTTTTATCTTAAATCATAACTTGTGATATCGTTCATCGCTGCATCTTGTAAGAAATGATAAAATCATAAGGCACTGAAGTCAAAATTTCGAAAGAAATGGAAGCCATAGATGGGTTCATAAATACGTTACTTTACTGAACAGATATCCATCTCATTTTTCTGATTCAGCTAAAGCTTGATAAGGTTAATTTTTCAGTTTTACGCGAGAACACCGCAGTATGATAATGATAAGTGGTATGAGTGGTATCGAAAGCGACGTATGGATGAAATGGAAACGCGTTGGATTCAAAAGTATCAGTTTTTTTTTCAATCTTAACATGATTTCAGTAATTTTGTCTATTATTACAAAAGTTCTAAGAAAGCCCAGTTTATTATCGATCTCTCTTGTATCGAAGATCATTTTAAATTAAAAATTATCAATTATTATTGATTGTTCCTATATACATGCACATTTAGGCTATGATATCTTATTCTATTGCTAGCAAATTTGAAAATAATTTGGAAAGTTTTTACTTCAAGCTTCCTAGTATTGAAAAGAGTGAAAAACCCATATTAGAGAATCTGACATTCTCATTAATTTGAAAATGATTTCCAAAAAATTTCAGAAATACTGGAGACTACTGGACGAAAACTATGTTGGCTTTTTCCGTAATATCTTTTATATTTTCGATGATTATACGTATAAGAACTGAGCAGTAAGTCCTCTCGAAATTTTCAAAAACAATGTTATTTTGCAGTTGCTCAAATAAAGCTGACGCCTTATTTAACGGCTTCAAAACAACATTTGTTCGAAAGAAGAAACAAAATTGTTGTGGATATTTTTTTTCAAAAATTCGGGACATCCAACACACTCACATCATTTCTCGGCTTTTTATTTACTAGTTCCTCATTTAATCTATTGAAATTCAGGGTGCGAATTTCAAAACTTCATGGAAATTTTTAAATTTTCAGATTTCGACGAAAAGAATGGATTGAATACATGATGCAAAGAAATAACGCAGAACAAAATGAAATTGAAAAAAAAAAGTGATATCCAAGAACAGTACTAAAGATCCTGAAAGAAGACGATATAGCTACAATGGGAAGAAAAAAAGGAACTGTAGGCGTAAGAACGACATTTAATAAATTGATCGAGCAGTCATTTTCTGGTTTTGAATGTCTTTAATAGTACAGGTTGCATATTTCCTAGGAGTTCGTACATTGCTGAAGTAAAAATATCAAAATTTGACTGCTGAAAAATAGATATGACTTCTATACGTTTTGCTGAAAAAAAGATATGATTTCTATACCTTCTATACATTTCAAAACAGCTTTATAAAGCTGTACACTTCTATACGTCTTCTGTGTTTTTCTGAATATCTCTTTTTGTAATCGAGTAATATTAGGTTTTTTGACGAATTATTATTAATATATTTTTGACCAATCCATTCTCTTAATGATTAGCTTAATTTGAAATCTGATTATCAAATTCATAGGCAATTTCAGTCTTTAAGTGGTGACGGTAAATTCGGCTGGTTGTAAATCAAGCAGAGTTAGCAAAAGTATCAGAATGTTATAATGATGCTGCAATTTTAATTTGATTTTTATGAACTCGGTTTATAATTTTAAGTTTATTCTAACTGCGAAGTTTTAAAAATTTTATATAGAGTGAAATGAACTATAAAAATTTTTTTTTGCACATTTAAGATAGGGTTGACATGAATAATCTTGTTTATTTAAGATAAAATAAAATAAGCAATCAAAATTTGATTGAAGATCAAGAATATCAATTGGGACAAAAATGTATTTTAATGCTAGGAATTCAGCAGTTTAATGTATTACTTTCTTCTTCAGCATAGAGGAATTCAATTACTTTTCTCATTTATTAATTCATTATTTTGTCATATTTCTGTTACCAGCTTTGGGATAATATCAGCTGCTTTAAACTCTGTCGTTTTATATAACTGTATTCTTTTATTAACTTTATTAAAGTGGTAATTTCCATCGTTGAATTGAAGCATTTCCGGGTTAATTTATGATTTGTACTGTGAATAGAATTTCTAATATGCACCTGATCTTACCTCACTGTACATCGATTAATTTCAAATTATATGTGTGAAATGTCATATTTTGTAAAATATTCCGCTTTAAAATAATAAAATTTTCGGAAGAGTTAATTCATTATTCATTCTGTGATTGAAAACTTCACTCGTGTGATCTCTCTGCATTTTTTTTTCCTTTTGTTTCTCCATAAGATAACTGAATATTCCGTGCGGAATTTAATGTTTCATTTCCTTCGTTGTAAGTAAATTTTTAGTTTTGGTTTCGAATCTGGTTACTTCTTCGATTTTATGCTCTTTTTTCATGAAGTAATTCCTTGCGACGAAAATGTGTCGATGAGAGATAGTCCTTGTCTTATGTTTTTCATTTTTCAAATGGATTTTCGAAATTGCCTGCTACA